GAAGGAAAATTATTAAAATATCTTAAGAAAAGTCAGCGTATTGGGGCAACTTCACTAAGGAAAAAAATAACATTCTCAACGACAGCAAAGGACGATATTTACAGGATTTGGCAGATTCTAAATTGGAGAAAGACATAGTGTGGTTTTGTAAAAGTGGATCCGATACTCCAACTTTTACTGTTTTTTGCCAAAAGCAGAGGAAACTTTCCAGCAGTACGGATTTTTTGAACTCTTCGTTTGGCTGGGAACTTGTGACTTGACCACTAGAAATAAGCAATACATCAGCTTTAATCACAGCTACTCGGAGTCCACCATCCTTCAACGTTTTCAGGAACTTCACACACTTGGTGATAGGATTGGATTTGGCGTGACTCTGCTAGAGATTCCCATATATTCCATTGTTGAGTGGAACCGTCATAAAGGCCACAAAACTCCAGAGGATTTTTCCGATCAGGACCACCAGTTTTAGTACATTCAGATCCGTATACTAAATTCTAAACACAACAAATCTTCCCCTCGATTCAGTTTGGACTTGCTACGTAAACGCAAAAACAATTCAACTTTCTCTACTTACAGATACAATTTTAATCTTTACTCAAAGTCTTTCACCCAAAAATATAATTGAGCAGGTACTGGCTTCGTAAAGTTACTGAAACAATTGCAAATACATGTTGTTGACATTTAGTGTGTGAGGATTACCTCGGCATAAAGATTATTTGCATTGCCACAAACTTAATCCAATACATGAGTGTCTGTGTGTGTGAGGATTGCCTCGCCATACTCATCTTCTTCATATCAACATTCTGTTTGTGTGTGAACTATTAAGAGTGCGTGAGGATCGCCTCGCCATACTTATCTTCTTCATATCAACATTCTGTTTGTGTGTGAACTATTAAGTTTGCGTGAGGATTGCCTCGCCATACTCATCTTTTACGTAATTACATAGTCTGTCGCCTGTGTGTCGCCATACCACTCTTCACCTGTGTTTTTACCTATTCTAAAAATAGACCACACTGGAACTACATTTATGACACATGGCACAGCCATTTTGGAATCTATTTATTTGAAATGTACCTGTATTTACATGGACTATTGTGACTTAGTGTGTGCTTTCTCAAGGATTTTCTCAACAAATAGTTGTAGAGGGGATGTTAAACAAAATTATATATATTGTTTTGATTTGTAGAGTGACACTGAACCTTTGTAGCTGTGCCGTGCAAACAAAATCTCTATAAATTACCCCCGAAAAATTGTAAGTACATTTTCAACTTTATCATTTATGTAAATGTGCATAATTGTTAATGGTGAACATAATAGGATGCAAAAATGTTGCTATTCCCATTTATTTATGCTGTTTTTAGCATGGTCTCTGCAGGATATGTCATATGCCAAACAGCATGGTGCTCCCCCTTACGGTGCAGATATTTGATCTTCACATTCTAGGGAGCTTGTCTGATTTGTTGCCTACGAAATGGCGACATGATAGGATATCTGTTGCGGGAATATCTTGTCGCCAAGATACAAACAATTATTCAGGAAATCTAATTCCAAATTTGGTCCAATGTTAGGCAAATGTGTGAGAATTTGAGCGTCGTTTTGGTGACCGAAAAACCACCTTGCAATTGATTTCAGAATCACACTCAACTTATTTTTATAGTAGAGATAATGATGATTAACTGATTATTGATACAAAATTACAATTTTGCAGAAATCGCAACATAGCACTGTTATTTCATCGCCGAGTAACCTCAACCAATCAGAATTTCGAATAACAAATACCTTGTCAAAATACTGCGTTATATGACGTCATCATTTTTGTGTTGATCATTTTGATATTATGGGAGATGACCTGAAATATCATATCCCAATCTATCACATGGATACCGTGTTATGAAGTGTCACAAAGCCATCACTCTGGAAATGACGTCACTATCAATTAAGAACAACCAAAGTGACGTCACGTCTTTGTGAAGCGGACACAATTTTCATCGTTTTAGAGGCGGCCAAGTGCAAAATATTCGTTTCAGATCACAATTATACAGTTGACTTTGTATAATATGATAAAAAGAATCTGTAATTCGTTTCCCTTCATATAAGATTGATGATACTCGTTTTGGATTTTTCATATTTGCTCGCAGAGGCTCGCTAACATGAAAAATTCATAACTTGTATCATAAATCTAATATGAAGGGAAACTTATGACAGATCCTCAGATGAATGTAAAATATATGGCCACTCAATTCATTCCGTTTGAAATGTGTTTACCCTATAGCTATTAGACAATACAATTGTTTGTGCTACTTCAATTGCATGCATTTCACTTAAATTCGGACTCAGGCTTCGTTTTCGTGTAGGATAAATATTTACCAAGTTTCTTAATTATCCAGTTATTTTTTGTTGCACTATTGTGCGCAAAATGACGACCAATCAGATTAAAGCAAAATTAATAATTATGCGCATGTTTTGCCCACGTCGATTATGACGTTTTGTTTGTTTCATATTTCGGGTCTTACGTATTTTCCCGTTATGAAATATGTTGCTGGTGGTGAATGAAGAACACAAGCATGACGGACACGGTTAAGTGGACCTGTGGCATTTATACATCCTTATATCAATACATATTCAACCAGTATCACAAATATTAACGTATACTTATCAAATTGGTTAATTTTCAAACTTACCTGAAATGCATATATGTCGCGTTGAATGTTTTTACAATCGATACTCAAATCACGTGTCCTCTATATGGTCACCTACAAGTCCACGTGTACCCAACATCATGCACGTGTTTTGCTCGCGATTAATCCGTCGTCAACATATGTGCACATATTTCGGCTCACAAACTCATAAAATAATGTGTTATTAAGTAACTTTTTTTCTGTCATACACTTTTGCATTTTCAGGAAAAACTATTCTGGAGAAAAGGCAGAAAACGTCTTTTTTTGTTTGACCGCCAGGAAAATCTCCTCATGCTTCGTGCCTATCAAGAGCATCTCAGCTCTTGGTCCGAAATAATTGCCGAAATTCAAGAAAATTCGTTTCTTCTTCCAAAATAACCCCGCGTGGTTTATACGAAAAATCCACCATGAAACAGCTACGAGACAGAGTATCCACCAAGCTGTCTCTCCTCCTCAAAAGGGGAACGGAGGATAGCGAGACCAGGTATTTAAACATTACTTCATTAATTTATACATGTATGTACAAAAACTCCCTATATTATGATTTCATCATTCTTCCCAATTGACCTTGTACAGCTTCATTACTTTAAATGTGAATTTATGCGGCGATATCATATGAAAAGACTAACAGGCGAAATAGCATTCTTATGGCTATATATGTAATAGGATCAGTATCATTTTGACGCTTCTCCTTGCGCACAACACAAGACTTTCCTAGCAGCAATCATGACGCTAAGTTTTCCATGAATGTGGTTTGAAAGGACGATAAAGGAAACCTTAAATGATGAAGATATTTAAGAGAAACGAATATACAATAAAAATAATGGAAAGAGCCATGGCGGGTTGCTATGCCTATTTCCCCAAAGCTGTGATCCGCTAGTGTTCGCGTGCCACCGTGTACCCTGTCATGACTCGTCCTTAGGTATTTCTATACAGGTAGCTCTATCGGAATCCTGTGTCTAAGAATATATCATTGCAAACAGCATAATTTAATGTCACGAGTTAACTACGTTACACATTCGGCTACATCGGACATAGACGAATATGGAAATACAAACTATTTTTACCCAAGAAACACCTGTCGCGGTTCAGAAACACGCTCATTTTTCCGGCATACGAGTTGTTTATACCACGGAATGAAAAGGTTAATTCAAAAGTTGGTCCTCGGATGGGAAAGTGTTGAATTTTGGTTTTTTTAAGTCTGGGATACCCAATTACTTTTATAGATATAGTGAATATGGCTATATTTGCAGTATCATAATAACAATACTTAATATTTCAGCAGTTCAAAAATTCATATTAAATTGGTTTTAAATCTGTTCGATACATTTTCGCTACCAGAAATTATTTACTCATGATATTATTTCCGTTTTCATAAATGCCGACTTGGGGAAATATGGGAAAGTTTCCGCCATAGCTCTTTAAGTATTACTGGTATTAAAGTTTAATATCAAGCTCTATTCAATCCCTATATGTATGCATAATCTACACAGAACCGCAATTCTACTGAGCTATTAAGAAAATGTGTATGTGTTGGTTTTTCTCATAGGTCTGATCTGGACAAAATCAGACTCTTGGAAACGGGGGGAGCTAAAGGGGAGGCAAATCCAAGGCATTGCCAACCCCAACCTTAGGCCCAGCCCCCGGACCTTCGCGGGATTCTTCCGTGAATCCGCAGAAGGTTCACATGCAAAGCCATGAATTGCGATGTCGTTGCTTTCTGAGGACGAGGAGAAGACCAGCACAGCTCCCCCGAAAAAGAAAAAGAAGAAAGATGATTTTGCAGCAATTTTGCTAGAAAACCAACACCAGTACCAAAATCTGTAAACTAAACAAATTCCAAAACTTCTAAAAGTATTCGGTGTGTCATCATCAGACGACTCTGATTAGAAATAATGAATCCCAGACAATGAAATTAATATCCTGATAAAGTGACGAGTTACAAATTTACTTTATTAGTGTATGTGGTTAATAACAGTATAAACCTCTGGTTTTTAAAGATACAATTAACAATTAATGTAACAACCTTACAGTACACAACAGCATGTCAACAACAACATAACATAATGTTTTGGTCTCTGTTGAGTATAACATATAGATAGATAGATAATAACAAAAATATGAATAAGAAATTATCAATCTTTATCATGCTAGTAAAGCATGACATTACCCATGGCTTAGAGGTTTCGCATACCAACCTCCACCCCAAAAGGTATATTAGGAGGTCTATAGACTGTACACAGGAGGTATTTCTTATTTGGAAACTGGATATCTGTCCAAACCACTTCACCCACCGCAAATTCCAAGTCAGCTCTACGACGGGTGCACAAGAGACTGGACGTGTAAAAGCTATCCCCCACCCGAATATCCACGGTCTTTGCGGAACAATTCATAGCTACTTAGGAGTATATCGTCGTCTGCCATAGATATATCAAGGTGAGTCTCGCTGACACAAACAATATCATAATCAGTTGCTACATGTTCTAAATACAATAACTTATTTCTTAGACTGCGAATGTTCAAATGAAATATAGAGATAGCTTTACTATGATTTGTAGGGCCTGGGTTAGGATGAACGTCATTACAAGATAGAAGGAGGAGATGTAGTAGGAGAAGGAAACTTGAGTTGTTGATAACACTAGATAGGGTGAGATGTACAGCGTATAGGAGATTTACTATAATATACATTACACCTGACTTGCAGCTTGTAAATATTTGTTGTAAATCAATGTGGAATAACAACTTATGTTGAGACAATGCACCGTGTGTGCGTTGGTAGAAACAACCGACCGCCAACCGATACTGAACTAAATCATTACCCATGATCGTCAAACGTTAATACAGCGTGTATAAAGAGGCGGTCGACCGTGAACACCACGCGCACACATAAGTATTTGACTACACAACGAAATCACTCAGACATGAAGGTTCGATAGTAGGGGTCAAGATAGGACAGGTCAAAGTTGAGAAAGGTGAAAAGGGGAGGTAAAAACATATAAACAAAGAATGTTTTAGCACACATGGAAAATAAAGCTAAGATGTTAGGCTGGATGGTGAAGTGCCTCAATTTGTTTCATGATACTAATGTATATAATGGGACAATAATGCTTAATTTGGTTTACATTTTTAGAGATGTTTACATTATATATACAATCATACCCACAATATATACAATCATACATATATACAACCATACCCAATATATACAATCATACCCACATATTCTCACACACAGCTATACTCGTTTGTGTGTTCTACATGCAAACATACAGATTGTCACAATTTCCCCATTATCTTACTGGTTTTCTTTTTTAAACACATATAAAACATATGTATTCCTATATATACATACACAATGTACATCTTATATACATCATAACTAGGGTAGCAGTATAGAGTAGAGGGTTGTGGCCATGGGTGATATTTTTGTTAAATGGCTAACCCCTGTATAATATGTAAAAAAAATATAAAAAAAACTGTACTAAAATTTGTATAGGCATGATGAAGTGGGCTATGTGAGCTTCACATTTGTAAAAAAAAAAAAATTTTGGTTCGAGCATAAAAATTTTGCCATAATCCGAAAGGGTGCCTACACATGAAAAGCTAGCTTTACAGGAGGTAAAATTTTGACAACAGCACACGATGCAAAATTGCAAAAAATCAACTTTTACAAATTTACTGGGACCCAGATAATTCTGCAACCAGGTAGGTAATCTTTCATTTCAGACAGAACTTATGAAAATATTTACTAGTTGCGGGGGTAAAATTTTGGGTCAAAAATAGCAATTTTTGCCATTTTTTGTAATTTTTGATGTGGTTACCATGGTTTTCACACAAGTGACATACATAGAAAAAAGAGGTTTATACACTTCTCAGTACTTTATCTGTATTGTAAATGTAATGCAGTTTACAAATATATATACATGTATACATGTGTTGTGTAGGGTAAATCCGCTGTGTTTACATTTCCTCGACATGTGCCTTGTTTATCAGAGTCGGGCCATTTCTACTGTATACTGCTACCTAGATACTCATATACATGTATTATCTACAATATACAGCCATTACACAAAGAGAAGTGTAAACATTGTATATTACATTTAATACAAAAAAATGCGCTGAAATGGTGAATTTTAGCTTGTCTGTGTTGGAGTGCTAAACTTATGCAAGGGAATCTTGACAACTCAGTCATTCATCTTAATTTATGTGGTTATCCAGGTCTGTTAGATCAGTTGTATATATGTTTGCAGTACTTTTTTGGATAAAATAGTAATGTACATTGTGTGTATATTGCAGAATTTTTTAAATTATTTCCATTCTCAAACACTCGTACACCGAGTGCCTCGGGAATGTATTTTTTTTCCATAATATAACTAGTAATGTACACACAACTCCTAAAACATTTTATTAGTTACTATTCATGTTTATTGTTTTATATATACTGTACACCTTCGTATACAACATATTTACATGTATATCCATATATTTCTATAAATCTTTATATAAATACATTTATACTTCATGTATACATGAAATTATATGATATAACCATGCAAATACTTCGCTGGTGTACTTACATTTAGCTAGGATATTTATAAACCTTATTCAGGTACATCAGTATACACCACAAAATTAGTATTATATATGTTTACAATATATTGTTGGAGAAAATACAGTCAAGTGTACTGTGTGTACTTTGTAGTCATTCATGAGGTTTCTGTTCCATTCTCATACACTCGTATACCAAGTGCCCTGAGAATGTATTTTTCCCCGTTAGTATTATATAAATACAGCAAAGTGCCTTGCGTGGACATTGTAGTCATTCATGAGGTCTTTCCATTTTCATACACTCGTATACCGAGTGCCATGAGAATGTATTTTCCCCCGTTAGTATTATATAAATACAGCAAAGTGCCTTGCGTGGACATTGAAGCCATTCACGAGGTCTTTCCATTCTCATACACCCGTATTCCGAGTGCTCCGAGAATGTTCTTTTTTTACTTGTTATTTACACACAACTTCTAAAATTTAAAACATTTTACTTATCGACTTTCTCCATGTTGATACTGTACAACAGAATCATGTTCGTTGACCGGCGTTGACTCACAAAAGCTGGAACACTCAGATTCACCAGTTATTCTTATTCACATACATAAAATATGTACATGTCAATATATATTCGGTATAATTATTTTAAGTAAATCTATTTATACATTTATGCATATGTATTCATTACTGTTCATTATACTCGTTATTGCACGTTAACGTTTACAGTGATTAAATTATCAAGCAAAATTGAAAAGAAATAAGGAGACATATTTTCTCTCTTTTCAACATACATGATTGGGTTGATGAGGGTTATACATGGTGGGAAAATAGACACTTTCATGTTGGTGATGATGCATGCTATTGCTGTTTGTTCTGACTGTTACATGTGTACATATATATTTATTCTAATTGTGTAAAAACAGAAGTTGCTTGATCTTTACTTTGTTAAGCGAAACTAAACAAAATTTAGACAATCATGAAAACTTCTTATGTAACTGACAATTAGATTTGTTTTTACATTTGTTCATTAATTTTGGTTTCAAGACACAAGCTAAACGTGTCTGCATGACTTGCTACACTGGTAGAGTACATGTAACTCGGTGACTGTCAGATCTCGCAGCATCCTCAGTAACGAGGGATGGGATCACTTGCAACAGATGAGATAGGTTTTTAATCAGAACTTTGTCGGTGGTCAGTGAGGTCTTTATAAAGATTCGTCCGTCTTTGCTCCAGTAGGTGTCCATGGTTTTACTCCTGTTGAGTTGTTTCCATTGAATCGTGAATTACACTCAGCTTCACTATAAATAGTATGTAATCATTCTTGATTATGATTAGTTATGTAGCTTAGAAGTTAGTTTCCCCACTTGGGTCATATCGTCTGCTTTTGGGAGTATCCCATAATGCCCATTATGGTTTCGAAGGTAAACAAATATCTTCATCTGCCGTAAGTAAAGTTACCTCAAATACGCAAAACATCGGCAGTAATAATTATTTCATTAGTATGAAATGCCTACCAATCGCTTTGGTGGTAGAGACGACATTTCTGATGTGTCTGGTGTGTGGAGCGCAAGTCTGACTGCTCGACGTCAGTCAGAGAAATGAGTCGCTTTTTCGTTGGTTGGTTGCTTTTTCGTGCATCAACCGGCTTTATACTTTCTGCCTGGGTTGCATCAGCCAATCAGCATCGATCAATGACGTCACGTTTGAAGTCCGCCAAAGAATTTTGCGGAATCATGATGTTTCCGATTAAAAATGTTCATAGCAATAACACATCGCTTATTGAAGCTACGAAGGATCTAGGCATACTTCGTTTATATTCAAAGGTAAGCTATAAGGTCTGAAATCGTGTCTGAATCGAAGTTGACGAATCTCGCCAATTTGAACGGCATGTTCGAGCCACAGTCGTAGCTGGAAAATAGATATTTGAAATTTCTCTTACAAATACGTATTTACTTCAAACTAACTCATGTCTTATAACCTGGGTGAAATCTAATTATCAGTAGACAGTAAATTCGTAACAACTATACCTCACTAGTCCTGTCAGCCTTGTATCAAACTAGAACTCACCACTATAGTATACCTCTCCGTTCTGTATCACACTAAAACTCATCACTATAATACACATTAAATCCCGGTATCAAACTCACCACTATAGTATACCTCTCCGTTATGTATCAAACTAAAACTCATCACTATAATATACCTTTCAACCCTGTATCAAACTAAAACTCATCACTATAATATACCTTTCAACCCTGTATCAAACTAGAACTCATCACTATAATATACCTTTCAACCCTGTATCAAACTAGAACTCATCACTATAATATACCTTTCAACCCTATATCAGACTAGAACTCATCACTATAATATACCTTTCAACCCTGTATCAAACTAGAACTCATCACTTTAATATACCTTTCAACCCTGTATCAAACTAGAACTCATCACTATGATATACCTTTCAACCCTGTATCAAACTAGAACTTGTCACTATACTTGTCTGTCCTGTATCACACTAAAATTCCTTTTTATATTTTCCCTGTCAGTCCTGTATCGAGCTAGATACCATCATTATACTAAAACTGTCAGGCTTGAATCAAACTAGAACTCACTACTATACTATACCTGTCATTCCTGTATCAAACTACATGCATAACTTATCACTTTACCTGTCAGTCATGTATAAAACACGAACTCATCACTATACACCACCTGTCTGTCCCGTATCGAGCTATAACACATCACTATACTATACCTGTCAGTCATGTATCAAACTTAAATTTATCACTATACTATAATTGCCAGTCCTGTATTAATCAAAAACTCATCACTATACTACACCTGTCAATCCTGTATCACACTAGAACACATCACTATACTACACCTGTCAGTCCTATATCACACTATAACACATCACTATGCTACACCTGTCAGTCCTATATCACACTATAACACATCACTATGCTACACCTGTCAGCCCTGTATCACACTAGATCACATCACTATACTACACCTGTCAATCATATATCACACTAAAACTCGTTACTTTATTATTCCTGTCAGTGCTGTATCGAGCTAGATTCCATCATTACACTATAACTGTGAGGCTTGTATAAAACAATAACTCATCACTATAATATACCTTTCAGCCCTGTATCTAACTTTAACTTATCACGATACTTTACCTGTCAGTCCTGTATCAAACTCTAGCTCATCACTATATATACTATACCTGTCAGTCCTGTATAACACTAGACCTCATCACTTTGCTACACCTGTCAGTCCTGTATAACACTAGACTTCATCACTTCGCTACACCTGTCAGTCCTGTATAACACTAGACCTCATCACTTTACCATACCTGTCAGTCCTGTATAACACTAGACCCCATCACTTTACTATCCCTGTCAGTCCTGTATAACACTAGACCGCATCACTTTACTATACCTGTCAGTCCTGTATCACACTAGACCTCATCACTTTACTATTCCTGTCAGTCCTGTATAACACTAGACTTCAGCACTTCGCTACACCTGTCAGTCCTGTATAACACTAGTCCTCATCACTTTGCTACACCTGTCAGTCCTGTATAACACTAGTCCTCATCACTTTGCTACACCTGTCAGTCCTGTATAACACTAGGCCTCATCACTTTACTATACCTGTCAGTCGTGTATAACACTAGACCTCATCACTTAGCTACACCTGTGAGTCCTGTATAACCCTAGACCTCATCACTTTGCTACACCTGTGAGTCCTGTATAAAACTAGACCTCATCACTTTGCTACACGTGTCAGTCCTGTATAACACTAGACCCCATCACTTTACTATACCTGTCAGTCCTGTATCACACTAGACCTCATCACTTTACTATTCCTGTCAGTCCTGTATAACACTAGACCTCATAACTTTGCTACACCTGTCAGTCCTGTATAACACTAGACTTCAGCACTTCGCTACACCTGTCAGTCCTGTATAACACTAGGCCTCATCACTTTACTATACCTGTCAATCCTGTATAACACTAGACCTCATCACGTTACTATACCTGTCAGTCCTGTATAGCACTAGACCTCATCACTTTACTATACCCGTCAGTCCTGTATAACACTAGACCTAATCACTTTACTATACCTGTCAGTCCTGTATCACACTAGACCTCATCACTTTGCTACTCCTGTCAGTCCTGTATAACACTAGACCGCATCACTTTACTATACCTGTCAGTCCGGTATAACACTAGACCTCATCACTTTGCTACTCCTGTCAGTCCTGTATAACACTAGACTTCATCCCTTCGCTACACCTGTCAGTCCTGTATAACACTAGACTTCATCCCTTCGCTACACCTGTCAGTCCTGTATAACACTAGACCCCATCACTTTACTATCCCTGTCAGTCCTGTATAACACTAGCTAGAACTAATCACTATAATATACCTTTCAACCCTGTATCAAACTAAAACTCATCACTATAATATACCTTTCAGCCCTGTATCTAACTTTAACTTATCACGATACTTTACCTGTCAGTCCTGTATCAAACTCTAGCTCATCACTATATATCCTATACCTGTCAGTCCTGTATAACACGAGACCTCATCACTTTGCTACACCTGTGAGTCCTGTATAACCCTAGACCTCATCACTTTACTATACCCGTCAGTCCTGTATAACACTAGACCTAATCACTTTACTATACCTGTCAGTCCGGTATAACACTAGACCTCATCACTTTAGTATACCTGTGAGTCCTGTATAACACGAGACCTCATCACTTTGCTACACCTGTGAGTCCTGTATAACACTAGACTTCATCCCATCGCTTCACCTGTCAGTCCTGTATAACACTAGACCGCATCACTTTACTATACCTGTCAGTCGTGTATAACACTAGACCTCATCACTTAGCTACACCTGTGAGTCCTGTATAACACTAGCCCTCATAACTTTACTATGCCTGTCAGTCCTGTATAACACTAGCCCTCATAACTTTACTATGCCTGTCAGTCCTGTATAACACTAGACTTCAGCACTTCGCTACACCTGTCAGTCCTGTATAACACTAGCCCTCATCCCTTTACTATCCCTGTCAGTCCTGTATAACACTAGACCGCATCACTTTACTATACCTGTCAGTCGTGTATAACACTAGACCTCATCACTTTTCTACACCTGTCAGTCCTGTATAACACTAGGCCTCATCACTTTACTATACCTGTCAGTCGTGTATAACACTAGACCTCATCACTTTACCATACCTGTCAGTCCTGTATAACACTAGCCCTCATCCCTTTACTATCCCTGTCAGTCCTGTATAACACTAGACCTCATCACTTTGCTACACCTGTGAGTCCTGTATAACACTAGACCTCATCACTTTACTATACCTGTGAGTCCTGTATAACACTAGACCTCATCACTTTGCTACACCTGTCAGTCCTGTATAACACTAGACCTCATCACTTTACTATACCTGTCAGTCCTGTATCAAACTATAACTCATCAGTATACTTCACCTGTCAGTCCTGTATTATGGTTCTGATGATTGTTCTGATTAACAAAAGTTTGTATGTATATAATTCGCTATGTAAAACCCCCACTTAAAAATGCCCTTTTTTCATAAATGACAGCCCCTTTAGGTGTTCCTATGGAGGACCTGACGGAAACACGTGATTATGCGAACTTTGACCCCTACTGGTACGTAGAACACTTTAATGCCACGGATGAAGCATTAATCATCATGCAGACGGACCTAGATAATCTCCATAAAATATTCACCGAATGTAAGTCATCACTGAAATTAAGTAGTTATCTGTAAAGGTTATACATTTTTTTCTAAAAAAATACATGCTTGTATCTGAAAAATGATACTGATATCAATTACAGCAACATGAAATGAATTAAACCATTTTTTAGACCTCACGTAAAAAATGGAGTCACACTAGAAGATGCTTTTGCTCTCAATGAGGGCATTCAACTGTGATGTTATAAAAGGGCAAACTTACTTACCTCCTATAGTCTCTCATAACGGGTCAACTAATTCGAAACATTTTTGTTTCTGGTGTAATAAAATATATGAAAAATTGTTTCGGCAAAGATAAGAGAAAGATGTATATGTATCACCTAACTGACTCATTTTACAATGTCATAGGGCCATGTCATAAATATCGTAATACACACGTGTAATAAAACCTGATGGTGCTGCGATTAGTGCAAACCGTGGAAACATATTCTTACGCCACTACAGGTACTATTTATATTTTACTGCATTTAAAACTGTTTATCATTAAACATAATGAATACATATGAAACTACTTTGCACTGCACGGAACGATTATACTAGAATCGGGGAATTTTGGTTTTGACGTCTAAAGATTCAGCTGATAACGCATACGTGAGTTTGAAGTTTTGTTCAAATTATAAATGTAATGTGACAATTATAATCTTATATTCGTGGCCATATCATACTGAATTTATCAAAGCTGCAGTCACATGACGACAGTGTCCACTAACGACGTTATCTTCACAACAATTAAGGTCAAATGTATGACCTCAATTATCTGTTGAGTAGTGAATATTTGATTACAAGCTCATTGTTTACTTCTCTAATCATGACTAATACCTATATATTGATGCCCCTGAAACTGACATCTCACTGAAATGGGATTAAACAAGACATGGTATCATGATTCTACATCAGGTCTATTGCATTGACACTAACATTTAATCAACACGATCTTGTCAATGTTTTTTTGTGTACAATATTTGTGAAAATTATTTACCTTTCTTCAGACAATATTGGCGGTAAGCGTCTGCTAGATGTAGGCACTGGTCCTACAATACACAGTGTGATCTCGGCTAGCCGTCACGTGGACGAGATTTTCCTTTCTGACTACGCCCCACAAAACCTGGAATATTTGCGAAAATGGCTTAAAAAGGATATATCTGAACCAACAAAGATAATCGATTACGTCATCAGCCTCGAAGGTTGCAAGTAAGCATACTTTCTATTTCTGAATAGTAACTTCAAATTAACTTGGTTTGAACAGGTTTCTATCAGATTTGTTTTGATAGCTCGTCCCCTTCCTTGAAAATGAATTCACAATTGAACAAATAGGCCTGATCATAATGTCAAAGATGGAAACATTTCTAAGTTTAACTCGGCACTGACAAATTCACACGCGTCAATATTTTGCTTTCTCAGGCTGAAATATATTTAACCAGCCTTGTAGAAACTCAAATGTTCCCCCTGTAAACATAAACCCATAACAGGAAACTATCCAGGTTTACATCATCCAGCCAGAGATATGTATTCATTCAGAATTGTCCAATAGTTTGAATAAAATCGATTGAAGTATCCCTCACAAATGTTGTTTGACAAAAAATAATTGCATGCTTTTTTATATAAAGGATGACTGCTGAGGAAAGAGGAAATCAAGTCAGAGAAAAAGTGAGAGGCATTCTTCCGATAGACGTGACGTCAGAAACCCCACTCGGAAGTGCCTATGACGGGGGTAAATTTGATGTCATAATTTCGAGTTATTGTATTGAGGCAGCGGTGCTTGACGTTACTGGATACAGACGGTGTATCGAGCATGTATCTTCTCTTCTGAATAAAGGCGGGGTTCTCATCAATATTGGCGACTTGGAGGGAGAATATTCTCAAGTTGGGGCGTATAAGTTCCAAGGAGTGTCGATAAATAAACAGGAAGTACAATCAGCAATGGCTCAAGCCGGATATACCATCAAACTCTACTCGGAATTCCCTGTCACTGTTGAGGAGGCGCGATACACTGACACAAATGGGTACTACATTGTTGTCGCGACAAAATGATTCTTTTCAAAACAATTTATTTTTCTGTTCTAAATCATTAATTACGGCATTTCTTCAGGCTAAACTTAAAGTGCGGTTCAATAATTGTCTTGCCTGTTTAAAACTACCAAAAGCCTGTATTTATATATTGTTGGCACTTAGCTTGGCAAAAACAGATATTTATATCTTTTTGTCATTTAAACTAACAAAAACAGATATTCATATCTTTTTTGACATTGGATCAAATAAAAAGGAAGAATTAAACTGTCTCCATTTTGGCGAATTTGGAAATAACAATTATTTTTCACGGATATTGTTATTCTAATGACACTACGGATTTCTCGACGAACTGTTTCTTTATGCTTCTGGACATGAATATATAAAAACTCAAATACATTTATAGCTATACAGCTTATACAAGGTTTTCGTCAACTTCATAAGATCATTGTGAAATATACTAATTTCCATTGGTGATTTGAAAGATGAGGTTGTTGGCTTTTGTCCATTACTGTTACAATTGGATTCTGTTGTCACTTTCACGCAGTTCTCGCTTTGAGGACGTTACATGGATTTGACTTCGCTACATGGCGGATGTCCGCGATAGAGCAGCAGATGCTTACTCTTCCTGAAAACGTGGTTTTACTCTCATACCCTTTCAAGAGTAAATCTTTCCTTTGTTTGTATTTTCATAGTTTTCTCTATTTTGATCGGGCTTTAGTTAAATGTGAATTATACTGACTCTACGTTATTTCCTCTTTTAGTTGCTTTTGTTTATGTTTTACTTTTTACACATCTTTATGAGCTTTTATTTGTTGTTTGTTTTACCAAATATTGGCGTAATTTGACTTTGATCTTATGGCTAATATTAGATAAACAGCTATTCGACATTCATAATATATTGTATCTTTTAAAATAGTCAGAAAAGGTAGTACATGCGTATGCATGTGCTTGTTTAAGAGCATAAATGATACATATAAATCATTATTTTTTCATGTTTGTGCTTAGCGCCGAGACATTTCACCATCGTACTGTTTTGTTTCCTTTTGAAACTATAACATCTATTATCAGGAACTTGTATTTGTTCATATTTAATTCCATAGTTTAATTCTTTTTTCAATCTTAGATATTCATATTTCATTAAATCCATTTACCATTCCCATCTCTTATACCTCAGTCAGTCTCTTTTACGTTAATAGTAAATATCACAGTCTTACTTTCTTTCTCGACCATCTTTTTCATTCTATTTCACACTCACCTCGTTAAGTGTCCTACATCATATAGTAGTGGGAGTTAATGTCTATTGTTAATTTTGCAGATTTAGATCATAGTATATATTCCATATTTCTAAAGTATGTTGAAATGTTAAAGACTTACGGTAGTGTTTCTGCCCAAATTCGAACTCTTAATCGATAGAACTAGGGCAAAATATGAACAAAGGAAAGATTTATATAGACATCACTAAGCATGTATAAGGAAGATAAGACCCGATGTTAATATGAGTGTCTTCTGATTCATTGATTATGTAAATGTCGAATCCAAGTAATGTTCCATTCTCGCATCGAGAACTCGGGTAGTGACACCAAAACGCAAGGCACTGTAATGAGCATAATGAAAATCATCAACCTTCACACAGAAACTGCGACATGTAAACGCCATAAAATGGGGAAGCAGGGATGTTGCTATAAAGCAATGGAAAGTTGAAACCACGGCATTTACCGTACTGCGTATAAGTAAGCAGTCCATGTTGGTCATGTTGTAAGTTAAGATTGAGGAGCGCGCCTTAAGTTGAAGAGTCTATGTTGTTCTTGATTTTAAACTCTGGAGGGTGTATATGATCGATCTAGTTAATTAATTTCTTGTAAAGAAAAGACAGAACATCTTCGATTTATCTGAATATGAGATTAAAGGACTTGGCTAGATTTCCGTTACCAGTCCTGATAAGCTCATACATACGAACCTCGAAGCTCTTTACGTAGAATACACTTCGGATTTCAGTAAATATCTCAATTGACGAATTTTAAAATTATTTAGTCCAACCTCAATCGATCCACATCAACATTATTATGATATACAATATTTGTAAAGCGCCTGATAACTTTTTTAGATTTATCTTAGAAGTTTTATAATGAACACAGCAGCAAAACAATCAGCATGACACGTATAAATGTGCATATGTGTATGAACATTATTTAATATATACATGATATGTATATATTTATATATCAATAACATCAAAAACGAAAATCTGCATGAAGTGAAAATCTAAAACACAGACTTAAGGATCCCCGTGTTACTGCAAAAAGCTCCAACTACGCATTGAAAACTGTTTTCCCAATATTACTATATTTTCTGAAACATACCTTAAGGGATTTTCATGAAAAAAACCCAATGGTGAAATAAACAAAATATAATCAACAACTGTGTTATAAGTAGAAAAACTTCAGCTGGGCTAGGCTATATTTGAACCCAGGAACTCATATTGTTATAGTGTCACTCTATCCGACTAAGCTACCTGTACAACGGAAGTGTCTTGGCCTTACTGTGTTATATTTATACATGTATTTAAAACGAAAATAAGGGGAGGTTACTACATATATTTGAAAAACCAGACAGCAGTGGGAGAGGGATCCTTAAACGAGTTTCTACACCCTATTTGAAAAAAACACCAATAATATAACGGCATAATCAGTTTATTTAGATCGAACATAGCACTATTACATGTAGTAGAGGAATAATATTTGTTAGCTTGTATTCTTAATAATAAATACATACATTAATGATTTTACTTACATAAAACTGTATGATCTTACTTACATAAAACTGTATGATCTTACTTACACAAAACTGTTTGATCTCCTTAACATCAAACTGTTTGATTTTACTGATAAAAAAACTGTATATCTTTACTGACGTAAAACTGAAAATCGTACTTACATAAAACTGTATAATCTCCTTTACTTAAACATGTATGATCTTACTAACATAGACATGTATGATCTTACTTACATAAAACTGTATGATCTTACTTACATAAAACTATATGATATTACTATCACAAAACGTGTATGATCTTATATTAAAATATATGATCTCGCTTTCAAATCACTGTATGATTAATTTACAAAATAACTGTTTGATATTACTTACATAAAACTTTTGTTTTTATTACATAAATATGTATGAATCTATATGAATATGTATGATCTTTCAAAAGACTATGATGTTACTCATAAAAAAAAAGATTTTACATTAAACTTATGATCTTACTTATATTCATTCAAATGGAGGGGATGTCTACTATAAAATAACTGACCAAGGTAACACATGAAATATTACCAATAAAGTTCAACACTTGAAAAATCATTATGAAATCCAACAGCGGTAACAGCAGTAACTGTGCACGATTTCAGCATTGATCCGAGCTAAGTCTTGTTATTGCACCTCATTTGAAATTTCCCATCGATTTACTGATACCGTTAAAAAAACAATATTTTAGCAGTTGTGTTATTTTAGCCCTTTACTTTATCATGACAGCATCAAATTGATGTTACAGTAAATTATAATCTATTGCATACATTGTGGGGGTTTAAATAATTAATGCGCCAGTCTCAAAATTCGATAATGTTCGTATATAGAGTAGACTCCCCTGAATGTCGTTTTGGATATAACTGAGAATTTCGTTAACTGGGAAGATCGGTCGGCTAGGGCAATATGATATCAATCTGAAGTCAAGGGTTCGAATCCCAGTCTCTAGCCCTCCTTAACTGTTTTTTTCACGCTCGTAACGTTGTCGGTGATTACTTTTTGTTTATTTCATCTGTTTTTGTTCACAAAAGTCCCGGATTTTTTTTTTCTTTTCAGAAATGATTCACTAAAGCTTAACTCATGCCGGAGAAACAGTTTCCAAAGTTTGGTTACAGTTAAAGGCAGCGATATAGGAATCCTTAAATTGTATTTACTGTTACTTGATAACGTACGTGAATAAAGTATTATTTCCGGATAGTCATCATCTAAGCCAACTGTAATGTACATGTCACCTATGAATAAGTTCAAGCATTTTCATTTATTCGCTCCAGATTCAACTTGGGAGTGTTGCAAGTGTTCAAGGACACCAATGTGACAACAAGCTTCACGTGAACTATTGGAGCAATGGCCACTGGGAAATGTTCCCGGACAGATAGGGTAGACTTGCCAAGGACACAGTCAATACTTTGTTAACATCAGTGATGGACATGGACACGTTAAACGCGAAAGTCACTATTTCACAAAAATCATTTTCCAGCGAACGTTTTTAATGGTTTACAGAAACAAAGCTGAAATTTGCAACGTGTTTCCTGGCCTTTACGGGGCACGTGAGAACGGATGTCACAGATGTTACAAGAAACGCTTTACGCCCTATATGTTTATTTTATTATCTTATTTATTCGTTTGGTTAGGGTAGAAGGTGCTCATAATTTTGGTTTAAGTGCCTCGCGTTCTCGTAATATCAATCTTCCGTTTTGATGTTGTCTTTCTGTGTTTACGCTGATATATTTGTTTCTAATTTGGGAACCATGGGGAAATAATTGGTGTAGAGGGTTTTATTCAAATGCATGAACGCAAAATTAAAATTAGCCTCACTTTGGCTTTTAAATTTAGTTATGGCATGTTATGAGGGAAATATTCAATATGTTTCTTCAATTTACTGGATTCGGTAAAATCCCCAGTAAATCCTTAAGCAATGATGACGTCTCTAGCGAGGACCAGACATTCACAAAAGCCATTTCCAGTAAAAGTCAGAAGAGGCGAGCCGTGTCAGCTACAGTTGGGAGCAAACTGAACTTGGTATCTAGTGCATTTCGTGGTACACACGTAGTGAACAAGGAAATGCACTTGACAAAACATTGAAGTGCACTCCAGTTCACTTAAGTGCTAACTCAAGTTCACTTCAGTGTTAACTCCAGTGCACTACGATGTTAACTCCAGTGCACTACAGTGTTTACCAAAATTTAAAAGACCGAATTACATATTTCATCATTTTTTTTATATTGTAATGGGTTCCTTTGTGATAATGAAATTGAAAGAGAAAGGAATGATTCATGCAACTGAATATTTCATGATATCGAATCAACGATACACATATTTTTTGTTTGTTTTTTGATTACTTAAAAATGTCAACTGAACATATACATGAACTGTACATAGAGAATTTGTACACTATCTCTTGTGATTATAGAAAAATCTATAGATAGCTGTACTAGTTCAGAGGGAA